GCAGCTGCAAACAATACAAGCTTTTTAGTTTGCATCACACACACACGTTGGGTATTCATGTCTTGTGGGGACAGTCCCCACAAAGACATGAATACAAACGCACACACACACTCACACATGCATCCCTGTTCGTGGCGTCCGCCCACACAGCTGTCACAGCTCAGCCTGGCAAGGTAGAAAATAGATTGTTCTCAGCTTCTTATCACAGCAGAGCAACAGAGAGGTGCGCTGACTCTTCATCTCGCACTGGCAAATGTAATGTATAGTGTGTGTGTGTGTGTGTGTGTGTGTGTGTGTGTGAGCGTTGGATGAGCGTGACACGATGACCACAGAATCAGAAACTCTGCTCTGGGTAATGAAACGCGCTGTTATTTCCTCTTTCATCAGGCCTGGCGTGCCGTACGCTGCACAGCCTGGAATCATATTCGTGGTGAATGAGTGAGTGGCGCCTCTCGGCTCTGCTGACACCCCAGTTTCAGGCTGGTCACATGGCTTGATTTCGGCCTGGTGCTCAGTGCACGAGTATTTTGGAGAACCAGGAGGTAAAATGTCACCAGGAGTCCCGACGTCACACTTTCCTGCCGATTTCATCGCCTGGCCTCGTAACGAGCCGCCAAAATGACCTGTTTGTTGTGAGCAGCTGCACCTTTATACACTCGATAAATTTATACATTTGCACTCAGCCTGAGCTCGACCTGCACCAGCTCCACGCCTCCCCCAGATCACATGTTAATTAGCAGCTGGTGACGGGATGCAGGAGTCGGAGCAGAAGGGGAGGCCGGGTTTGTCGGGAGGCTGAGCCCTCGTTAACATGCTCATGGTCAGCCCTGCGTGCACTGTGCCGTGGTTTGTCCATTAAAACGTGCGTCCCTCCTGCGCCGCAGTGCATCTGCTTTGTGTGTGCGTGCATTAAAATTCCTGCACTCGAACCGCGAGCGGTCCAGCTGGTTTCCCTGTGAGAGCGTTTGATAGCAACGCTTCACTAATGACTCACATTCACTCAGCAAAGCGTTGTAAGGTTGTAGTTTCAATTTCAGGGGCTGAAGCTCTTCAGCGTTTGGACTAAAATCAGAATTCCTCTTCCTGATTACAAGACAGCTGAGCTGTAGTCAGAGAAGATCACACCAGAGCTGGTTTGTTAAACAGAAGTCCTCACACACAGATAAAAACCCGCCAGCCTGCACGTTTCTGACCTCTGCGTTAACCTTTCTCGTCCTGCAGCCTGAGCGGAGCTTCTCCTTTCCTGGGCGACAACAAGCAGGAGACTCTGGCCAACGTGTCGGC